CATCAATGGTTTATACATTCTTTCATACATTTATGAGATATATACTCACTGCAAAATATCATAGTGAACATTGGGGAAATCCAAAAGGGTAGCACAAAGCTCAAGCTCAGTGTTTTCTGGTAGAGGAGAGAGCCATGGAAATTACAAGGTGGAGGGTGATGAGTGACATAGACATATTTATTTATTTATTTACTTATTTATGCTGAGGAAGATTCACCCTGAGCTTACATCTGTTACCAATCTTCCTCTTTTTGCTGAGGAAGATTTGCCCTGAGCTAACATCTGTTGCCAATCTTCCTCTTTCTGCTGATGCAGAGTTGCCCTGAGCTAACATCTGTTGCCAATCTTCCACTTTTTGTATGTGAGCCGCCGCGACAGCACGGCCACTGACAGATGACGGGTGTAGGTCTGTGCAGGGAACAGAACCCAGGCCGCTGAAGCGGAACACACTGAACTTAACCACTAGGCCAGTGGGGCTGGCCCCAGACATTTTTAAATTAAGGACTGTGGCAGTGCAGAATAGGGAGGATAGCACAGGCCATGTGAAAAGTGCAAGAGAATCAGCAGCATTTGTGTTGGGACTTGAAGAGTGGTAGCTCTGGGATTTTTGAATAAGAGGAACTTTGGAGCAACAATCTGATAGACAGGAGCAAGGGTATTTCTTTTGAAGCTATGCTTGCATAACAAAAACACCATGTTAGGAAGTTTATTACAAATCAATATGAGCTCAGTTTTTTTTTTTTTTTTTTAAAGAATTTTTTTTTTTTTTCTTTTAAGATTTTTTATTTTTTCCTTTTTCTCCCCAAAGCCCCCCGGTACATAGTTGTGTATTCTTCGTTGTGGGTTCTTCTAGTTGTGGCATGTGGGACGCTGCCTCAGCGTGGTCTGATGAGTAGTGCCATGTCCGCGCCCAGGATTCGAACTAACGAAACACTGGGCCGCCTGCAGCGGAGCGCGCGAACTTAACCACTCGGCCACGGGGCCAGCCCCATGAGCTCAGTTTTTAAGGATGCTTTTTTCAAACCTTTCTTCCAGAAATTAGAAAAATTTTTAAAAATCTTATATGGTATTTCTTTTGTCTTTTTACTTATTTGCCAGAAAATTTATAATAGTTATTGTTTTTAGTTAGCTGGCTGTATTAGTCAGGTTGGGCTGCCGTAACAAAATACCACAGACTGGGTGGTTTAAACAACAGAAGACAGTTTCTCACAGTTTGGGCCCTCCAAGATCAGGGTGCTAGCGCAGTGGGTTCTGGTGAGAGCTGTTGTCCTGGCTTGCAGACAATAGAAAGAGAGCTCTGGTGTCTCTTCCTTTTCTTATAAGGGCACTGGTTCTATTGTATCAAGGCTCCACCCTTACAATCTCATTTAACCTTACATTGGGAGTCAGGGCTTCAACAAATGAATTTTGTGGGGACGCAATTCAGTCCACAGCAAGAGCTGACAGAAGTTCACCTCTTGGTGCTTTCTCTACCTTGAAACACGAATATGATTCCATTTGAAAACACATTGGAGAGGTAACAGGGGCAGCACGATCGGCTTTACCCAGTAATGGTTCAGAGTTGTCACAGTTAACATCAAATGCACAGTTCCAGCCTTTGCCTACTTGTCAAAGGTAACATCTATTTGAAATAGTAAAGTAATTGACTCTATTCCTCCCTTTTAGGCGAACCTATGAAGAGTCTCTTAAGGATAAAAATGTAAATTTTATTGTTTTCCAGTTGCTAGTTTTACAGAAAATCCACACAAGTTTTTACAGGTTGGTAAACATTTTTACAGCTGTGCTGGATTTTGTTTTCACTTGTAGGTATTAGAGATTTTTCAGCCTACACATTTTAATCATGATTAATGGCATGTTCTCAAAAACCAGCATGCATGACTAGTAGCAATAAAAATAATCACTATTAGTTGACCAAGGAGGGTAGGAACAATCTGAACTTTTACGCGAAGTTGAGAGTTAATTTCAAAGAAGTGCCACTTTTCCAAATAAACCACCTATTTGGTAAAACTGTTGCTGATAAATATGGAAAGGGATTCCAATTCTTTTCTGGTTTAGTTTGTATATCATGGCTAAAATTCTGCTCCATAATTCACATTCAATTCTCATTCTACTTGTTTTGCATTGAATACAGCTATGTTGTGCTATAAAAAGAGACTTTGGACAGGATATCTGTTGGTGTTAGGCTGTTTGTTTTTGTGTTCCCTCAGTCAGAACTATCCCCAGGGAAATGGTGGCCCTTGAGAAATCACATGGTGTGCACTTTTTCCTCTACTCCGGCATCTTCGTGCAACTGAAAGGATGTTCAGCTGAACAGTGATGACTCTGGAAAAGGAAGAGAAATCACAGATGGGCCAAATGAAGCTGAGGAGGTGAATGTGGAAGGAGGGGCAGGACCAAGAAGGTACTTTGTGAGAATTAGGAAAAAGTTACCACTTCTCCTAGGTGGACACAGTCAACCCCATGCCAGGGGACACAGTTTGGCAAACAGAGCGAAGGCTGGATTTCAGCTCCCATTGCTCTTTTAGATGAGCAACTGTCTACAGTGGTCATGGGCAAGGTCAAGTTGAGGCCTAAAATGAGTGATAAGCTTTTAGCAAAATCTGCTCTTATACTTTGAACACAGTAAGTAGTTGGAAGGTGATGGTTATGAATGAACAGTTTAATCATCATTATATTTGAACAGTACCCAATCCTTTACACAAGACCGTATCTGAGAATGAGCTTACACATTCGCATTCTAAGGATTTCTGGCAGAAAAGCATTTATGAGTAGCATAGCAAATTTGTAAAATTCTTCTCTTGAATAAGATGAATAATTATCTCAAAAAAAATCAGTATTGTTTACTCCATTTTCTGATCTGTCCAGGTAAATTTGGATTTGGGATTATCTACATGCTTGTGTAAAATAAAATATTTTCCCTTTCTCAAGTCAGTTCAGTAAGCCTTTGTGCAAAGCCAGAGGCTAAGATGACCAGTGTAGAGCCCTTTGCTCTTGGAGAGTTCTTCAACAGCTATGGGGGGAGTTGCCATGTGTGCTTAAAGGAAAATGCAATAGTTTCCTCCTCGGGTACAGGACTGGCTACATAATTTTCAGGGACCCTGTAAAATGATAATGCAGGGCCAGCAGGGTGGGAAAGGCCGTCTCCCCCTTCCACCTGCAAATGGGTGACCTCTGAGGGATCACGACCTCTGTGCTGGGACACACTTAGTACCTGGGTCTGAGGTGGGCAAGAAGTCCCCTCCTTATGCCTGCAGAACAGCCCAGGAGCCGGCCAGCCAGGGAAAGGGAGGGCCACCCACTTGCCCCACCCAGAGATGTGTGGCATAGGCCGGCCACTCTGCATTCACGCTGGGACTCAGCCTAGGGAAATCATAACAGATACAATTTCTTGATCTTGGCCTTAAAGAATCTCATTTCAACAGGTCTGGAAGGGAGGAAAAGGCAATACAGACAGAGGCTACTGCCTGAGGGAAGAGCACCGTGTGAAAGGCTTGTTTGGGGAATGCTGCCCAATGAGGGCTCTGCTGGTTGTGAAGCAGATGGCAGGGGTGGCTGGAGGTAAGTCTAGGATGGCATTCCTTCATTCAGTAATCATTTGGAAAGTGCCTACTATGTCTCAGGCCCTGTGCTAAATGCTGCTGATATAATGTTGAGCAGAATCAGATGTGTTCTTTATTCTTATGGGGTCTGCAGCTAAAGAAAAAACCAGGGTCAGATTGAGGAGGTTCTTGACTGTCATTCGCATTTAGGGTTTCTCTATAGACCTGAAAGCATCTCAAGTCAGAAAGATTTATCTTTTGTCTCCTGCAACCTGCACTACTGCCACCCATGAGTTTAAGTTATTTCTTTTTCTACATTGTGTTTATTACTATTTGGCCCTATCTCTCTAATGCTAAGGAATAATGTATTTTTTTAATTTATTTTTTACTCCTTTCCACTCTTTATTGTGAGTAATAGTGAAGACAGGAATGTGTTACTGAGGAAATCTTTGCCAGAAGCTCACTTGTAGTTTGGTTGATTGGAATTCAAAGCCTATTACCCACTTTTAAACTTTGCTAGCCAGCCCCTAGGAACATATTTAGCGCACATGTACCTGCAATAAATACTGTAGAATATAACTACCACATGGGAGAATGTTTCTATGGGAAAACTCACTCAAGAAATTCTGAGAAAATGAAATTTGTGACTTAGGAGCAGGCCTTTCCTGGTGTAATGAGAGAGGGGACTCTCCTTTTGATCATTTTCCACAACGTGTCAGGCCTGCTCTCTAGAGTGCAGAGCAGGAGGTAAGATTAACTCTGAAGTTTGGATGTAGGAGGAGTGAAGGACGGAAGGGGGTACATAAGGCAGAGGAGGAGGGGCAGAACAGGCTTGGTGGCGGTGGGGAGTACAGTGGGAGACTTTGGACAACCAGAAGACAGTGGGGACTTGAAGCATGACAGAAGTACGGATCAAGAAATTGGGAAGAGAGGTAGAAACTAGAAGGACGTGGGACAACTTGGTCTTATTTCCCACCCCGGCAGTACTAATATTCTGCCCTGCTACTGAAAGCCCTCTTGGAACCACAGCAACTGGGTAACAGGAGCGTAAAAGGACATAGGAATAACAGTCTGCAGGCTGGTGGCAAGCCCCAGTTCTCCCATTTACCAGTTTTCTGGCCTTGGGTAAGTTACTTCATTTCTCTGAGCTCTGGCTCCCTTATCTAAAAATTGGGTGACACTAGTGGTCCCAGACTTATACAGTTATTTTAAGGAATAAATGAGGCTGTCTTTGTGGAATATAGAATGTAAGCACCAGGAAAGTAGAGAATTTGTCCTGTTCACTGCTGAATTCTCAGAGCTTCAAGTAGTTCCTGGCACTCTGCAGGAGCTAAATAAATATATATATATAAAATTATTGAGTAGATAGGAAGAGATTTGTAAGTGGAGTGGCATTTTAAAATGCCTAATCTATGGGCTGTTTGCCACTGATTAAGCCCCTCTAATGGTTACAAGAAGTGAAGATTCTAGAAGAGTGAAGTTGTCTGAATTCCAGTCCCAACTCTGGCCCTCACCATCTCTGCAACCATGGGAAAATTCGGCCTCAGTTTCTTCTTCCATGAAATTTGGGTTATTATAGTGTCCACTTCCTGGAGTGTTGTGAAGACCAGATGAGATAATGCAAAGCATTTTGTGCCTAGCACACAGTGAGTTCTCAGAAAATGTTAGGGGTCATGATGATGATGACCACTTTGCTGTCGAGGGCAGTTCTCAGCTCTACAGATAGATTTCAGTCACCCAGAGACAGAATCTCCCTCTGCCCCTGGCAAAGCTGGAGCAAGAAGCTGGTGCTCTCTTTGTGAATCTTCTCTAGCCATCTTGGAAGGGTGTGTGTGGCCCCGAGTCTGGCAGGGACAGAGCTGAGCAGAGCTGTTCACAGCAAATCTGCGATGATGATCTTCTCATCTGTCTTCTAAGCTGTGGGCGGCTCCTTCTTTGGGAAGCAAGTTATAATCAGAACTTGGAACAAGCTACCCTCCAAACAATGCTCTCATTGCCTTTTCTGCCATTTAATTAATGCCAGTCTAATTTTGTAGAAAGTATATAAATATGACTTATGCATACTTGTACCTATATTTTCCTGTGAGGCTTGCCACGAGGTACATAGTCATGTAAATCATATCCTTCTGATAAATATCTCTGGCCTGAATACTTAACATTATTTTTTATAGCCACATTTGGGAAACTTAGCAAGGAGAGGGATGGATATTGCTCAACCTAACCTTCAAGTTATTGTTGACTAGAACCAAAAGGTGAACCTCCTATTTCTTCCAGATTACATTTTGCTCTGGGGATTTAGGTAGATTTCAGCTGATAGGACTCAAGGTACCTTTTGCTAATGCTTTCCTTCCAGTTCCTGTCAACCCAACTCCAGAAACAGACAGCGGTCTATGGGCTGCCAGTTGAAGGTTATGAGGACACAATCCATGCGTGCTGTTTTTAACTTCATTTTTAGTGAATACAAAATTAATTCAGGCCATGATTTAAATGTACTCTTGCAAATCCTGAAAGAGTTGTGCCATAACCCTGCAGGTTTTGCAAGCACCAGGTGAGTGTAGTTGGGTGACTTTGCTGAGCTTTTCTGCAACTTCCTTTGCGCTGTGTCTTAAGCATGTGCACCAACGAGCTGATTTTATTAGAAGTAACTTTGAAGAACTAGTAGAGAAGCTTTTTCTTTTTACCAAACATGGATTTAAAAAATTACACAGAAATCAGCATTGTCAAGTCACATGAAGTGCAATTATAAGCAGAAGGCTTGAAACCTGTTTTTGCTTAAAGCCTTTATTTGATTTAGCAAAAACAACAGCAATAAATTGTATTCAAAAGAACTTTTGATCCTTTTGCAACAGTATTATTACCAAGAGCAGGGACTACATAATGTCTTTCCTTTTTCTTTTGGGTCAATTTTCTGTAGGCTTCCAGAAGCATCCAAATCTGTGTTTACGATTCTGGAGACAAAGGATTGTTCAGACTCTAGTGCCTGACACTTGGAACTTGGTATTATTAGGCAATGATTGTAGCACTGATTTACATTTCTATTTTCTTGAAATCTTCCATGGAAATAACAGAATATCAGAGATCAAAATGCAAACATGTGTCATTAAAATATTTACCACAAACATTCCTGTTCTGTTTCCCCCCTGAAATTTTCAGATTTATTTCATCTTTTCCCTTTATTCTCCTTTCCCCAAAATAATACTTTTAACATTTTGAAACCTTAGGCAATCAGTGCCTATAATCAAGACTCAATAGGAATAGAAATGGTAATAACAGGGCAGTAAGTTGAGGACCACATCTTTGCTTCAAAGTTCACCATCACAATAACTCTGGATTGGCTATAACTGCGTTTGATTTTTTTCCTGATGTCGTCCTGTCCTGGAAGATCTAGGACTTCATTGATTCTTCCTCATCCTTTTGCTAAGATTACCACTCTAGATATAGATGACTTTCAATATTCTCCAAAACCTTTCTTTAGCTAATATAAAAGCATATTTAGAATCTATGAGAAAGAGGGTATGTGCCGGTTACAAAACTATCATTTTGCTTTTATATTTTCAACAACCCCATCAGGTAGTCAAGGGAAGTGGAAGCGTCCCTATTTTAAATGTGATAACTTTGAGATGTGGACAGGTCAAATGGCTTGCTCACGGTTACCTCGTCAGTGACATGGTAGCTAAAGGGATTTGGGCTTCCTGATCCCTTATGTACGAGCCTCTCTTTACTGCCCTGCATGAAATGTTAATTGTCAGCTTAGACAAACCTCTAACTAGAGGGTTGGCCAATTTTATGATGAGATAGCTATAGGTAGCAAAGGATACTTGTTCCCTTAAGTTTATTATGGCAGCTGGACAGCTAGCTCCCGGGACACTCTCTTGAATTAGTCTTAAGGTGTAATGGTGATTTTGGGCATGCTAGAATATAGCATCAGAGACCTGGGGAGGTCCAGGTAGTGGACTGGAATAGCTGCAGCTATTAAGTATCTAGGTCATCCTTTATAGAGGGTTGTAATATATCCTCTAGCTTCTGATTTCAGTGCTGACAGAAAGGAAAAAAATCCATCTTGCTAAAATGTAGTCAGACAGCAGTTTGTCTTTCCAAAACATTATTAGGTATTATTACAGAATGTGAACACCGTTCATTCCTGACAAACAGGAAATGTATGCTGCACTACTGCTATGTCAATCAGAGTGATAGCATCAATTTTATGGTTTTTAATTCATCCCCACCTCCTGCCGAGCCTTTTGCTCATCCCAAATTATGAATCTTAAAAGGTACGTGATTAAGAAGAAAAAAATATCTCTCTGCCTGAGTGAACTCCCGTGTGAAGAGCTTGGAGGCAGATATTTAAGAGATTTGTAAAGCGTGTCCAGACCACTCAGGGACTGGACAAGTGACTTACTTTCCTGCGGCTGGGAGTGTCCCCCCATGCTTTCGCTTGAGTATTTTGCAAGCAACCCAAGTGAATATTTTGTTATATGCATTGACACCTTTACATTTGTAAGGAGCAGAAAGAAAATAAGTAACATATTCAAAGCTATATTTGTCAGTTCATGATGCTTCAGTTACATTTTCAATCTAAGTTTTCAGTATCTATTTCTTTGGCTGTGGTGGTTTGTTGCTTTTTGATATATATTCCGTAATAAATACAAAGCCAATTCTGGAGCCTAGCTTTGAATGAATCAGAGCAATCTTTCTCACAATTCTTTTCTTTCTACTCCTTAATCTTTTTCTTCAACATGTAATGAAAATGAAGAGCATTGCTAGTGTCAGTAGGAAGTGAGACTGTTTAAAAATAAATAAATAACGTGTGCTTGTGTGGCGTGTGTGTGTGTGTGTGTGTTACTTCTCAACAGGGGGCTTGGGAGCCTGGGGTGTCTGAATCTGTCCTCCCGTGCTCCTCTCTTGTTTCTGGTGAGGAGCCATTTTTCTTGTTTTTCCTATGCAGCTCCACCTGGACTCCATTTGCTGCCACAAACTCTGCAAATATCAGACACTTCTTTAAGATTTAGGAATGTGATCTGATAGTTGCTGATTGGAAGGTGAAACAATAATTAGCAATTGGTCAAGGTCAATTTCGCCTCCTGGTGCTGACCACAAAGTGAATGTGCTATCATGGACAGACAATTCTCTACCCGCTGATAGCGCATGATGATGTATTTCATGGATCTTTAATAAGAACTTTCACTGGATGGTGACATCCACGTCTACATCACTATTGGCCATTTCAGCCTTAGCCTTAACATTTTTAATGCTTGAGTGTTTGAGCGAGAGTGCGTGAAGCCTTGAAGTAACCCATGTGGCATTTGCTTGTGAAGAGTTTCTTGTTCTGCTTTTACCACAACTTCTCTGTGATTCAGAATCAAAGTTTGCTGGTTCTCTTCCATGCAAGGAAGCAAACAGAAAATAAGCAAGAGCTCTTCTTTTCCTGGTGGGGCACCAGCATAAAACATCGAGTTTTGAGAGTGATGATAAGTGGGCACGCACAAATGTGGCGAATGCAGCAGAGCCTGCCTTGTAGGGAGGCAATGCCCTGCAGAAAGGCTGCTCTTCCCACCTGGCAAGAAGGTAGGTATCAAGGATTCTGTCAAAGGAGCTTTCTATGACGGCTTGGCCACACCTGTCTTTCTTGGTGTATGCGGTGTTAGCATTTCCAAAACGCATTTACTTACATTCTCTTTCAACTTGTTTCCTCAGTTAGTAATTATATCACCATGCTATAGGCAAGGGTGCTGAAGCTTAGAGAAGGTAAGCAGCTTGCTTTAAGATCATATAGATGGTAACTGGCAGAGCTGGATTTTGAACCCATGTTTTTTGACCCCAAATCCAGTGCTCTTTGCTCTACCCTATGGTTGGTTATTATTAGCACCATTTATTTGGCACATGTTTGTGTTTAAATTTCCAATTAAGTTATTTGACTATTAATTCCTTAATAACACTGACTTTGTGTGTGTGTGTGAGGAAGATAGGCCCTGAGGTAACATCCATGCCAATCTTCTACTTTGTATGTGAGATGCCACCACAGCATGGCTTGATGAGCAGTGTATAGGTCTGTGCCTGGGGTCCAAACCCATGAACCCCGGGCCACCAAAGCAGAGCATACAATCTTAACCACTATGCCACCGGGCCAGCCCCAACACTGACATGGTTTATCACAAGGATTTGTACATGGTGCACACTAAATGAGTACTTTTGATTGATTAATGGGGTCACCAGTTTTCATCATTCTCACTTTATGTGGTGTGGCATTTAATTATATCACAAATGTTTATGAACATTACAAGGACTTATGTTTGATGTTGGGAACACAAGGTGATTATTATTGCTTGAAAGTTTGTGTTCTCCCCCATATTCATACATTGCAGCCCTAACCTCAGTGTGGCTCTATTTGGAGATGGGACCACTAAGGAAGTAATTAAGGTAAATGAGGTCATAAGGGTGGGACTCTGATCTGATAGGATTAGTGTCCTTATAAGAAGAGACACCAGAGATGTACATGTACTTGGAGAATGTATGTGGAGGAGCTGTAGAAGATGAGGCTGGAAAGATAACAAAAAGTCACTTCCTTAAAAATCTTCATATATTAAGCTTAGAAATTGGACTTTAGTCTGTAAGTAACATGGATGATATGAAAGAATTTTAGGCGCC